CCGCCGCCGCCGCCTCGTCCCCCACCACGGCCGGCGCTGCCTCGCAAATTATTCTCCTCGAGCGAGGTTGTCAGACCGGTTTTTTGTGGCGCTGCGATCGCGCCGGGCCAATGGCGAGCGGAGGCGCGGAGGCGGCCTGGCCGGGGGAGCCGGGGGCGGGGTCTCGGCGGCGCCGCCCCTCCCCTTCGCCCCTCCGCCGCCAAGGCCCGGAGCGCGGGCCGGCCATCGCCGGGCCGAGCCCTCGCCGCCCCGCGCTGCGGCCGCCGCTCCAAGTGGGGACGCGGCTGCCATGTTACTCAACATCGCGGCTCAAAATTAAAACATCAATGTAAAGAATACATCGTCAACTAACCATCCATGTTGTTAAGCTCATTTAGTATACACTAACATTAAATTCGTGCGAAACAAAATTTAATTCGAACGTGTTTGTGATTATCAATGCGACGAATGAGGGTACGGAAAGAAGGGCCAGACCCTGTTCGCAAAGAACATTTGTTGATCACCTCTCAATATGCGAAATGAATATCGAAAAAGGAAATACAATGGCATGAAGGTAATACAAACAGCGTTCCTTTGATTCTAACCCGAATACCTAGATCGACATTTCTCTAATTAAAATCACAGTTAACATTTCAAATGACTTACTTCCACAGTAATGGAGTAAATTCAAAAGGTTAAAAAGGAAATTTGAAGGTTAAAATGTGGTTAGAATTTGTTGATTGTGTTCGTGTTTATCAATTCGCAAAATAAGGGTACGAGAAGAACGGGCAGATCTTACGCCCACAGCGTATTTGTTGACCAGATCTCAATGCGCGAAATGAATATGAAGAGAGAGGAAATACAAGGGCTTGGATGTCGTCTCGGGCGACACAGGTTTACCGAGGATAGTGCATATGGCGTACCTTTGGTTCCAATACACGAATATCAGTGTTACTATCAGTTATTATTTCATAGTTTAACGTTTTTAGTATTGTGATCATAGAATTTTCTCATTTAGAAACAACACAGTGAAAAAAAAAGGTGTAAAAATTACATCGGAGTTAATGCATTGATGATTTTACAAACACATCTATGTTTTGAAAACGTCGACAACGACGTCGCATCCCTACCTCCTCCTCCACCACTGCCGCCGCCGCCGCCGCCGCCAGCCCCGCCGGCTCCGGCCTAAGCTGCAAATCCGCGGGATGTAGACCGAGGCGGCGGCGGCCGAGTGGATTTGTGAGCGGAACGCGTCATCCGGATGATTACAAGGGCATTATCGCAGTCGGCAGCGCGCAGCCCCTTGGCCTCCTCAGCCGCTGATCGGCGGAGGCCCTCGACGCGCCGCGCAGCCCGAGGTACGCGCAGCTCCGCTTGGGGCGCGTCTGGGCACGCGGTCGGGAGCGCAGACGACGCGTAGCATGGAACCGCCCGTTGGAAACTCTTCCAGCTTTCTCCACTGATTTTTTCCAGATGAGCATCTGCGATTGTAAATACATTACTATTGGCATTTTTCACGAGCCAATTCAGAAACTGTAACAAGGACAAACAATCTTAACGCCGATATTAAAAGGGAAATAATGCGAGGTAAATTTATTGCTGTTAGTTTTTATTTTGAAAAGTAAGTAAGATCGATATACACAGTTAGGTTCAGAGTGAATAAAAAAAAGTAAAATAAATTGTTTTGCATTATTTCATCCGATATGAGAGATCTCTTAGGCTTGGCGACATCAACGACCAAATCTTCCTCCGATCCATAATCGAGATAACATTCCTCTTTAGTCACTTTTTTTGTTCTTTCCTTCCGTTTTGAACGTTGCCTTTAGTTGTGGCAAGTTTCTAGAATTTTGGCGCTTTGCAATTTTTTATCCACGCGGGAAACGATTCCAAAATAAATCAAATTCATAAATTTGACGCAACTCATGATAATATTATTTACTTACTTGTTTATTCGAAATGCACAAAAGCAAGATTTTCTGAATTCAAAAGAGTCGATATTAATGTTATTTATTGCGAAATAAAAACCCCTAAACCGGTGTTCCACATTTCTCTGAATTAATGCATTCATTGCAATAATTTGCTGTGTATCACCACTAAAGCAAAATATTATACCTTGCATTGTACTACAATTAGCTGTGCATATAAGCCAGGGAATGAACTGGGAAAGATTTTGACTGCATTTAGCGAAAGCTCATTATCTCAACAGAAGGACATAAAGCGATCATCCTTCTTACGGCGCCCCTTTACATGGGTTTTAAGCCGCTGGAGATCAGCCTTTACAATGAGTGATCCTGTATTCTTTTCCTGTATTTGCTGTTCTTTTCCTTAGTTTCTTAAAGAACTACTTTGACGATTCATTTAACAGACTTAACACGTTATAATAAGGCCATATACAACTTCTAAACATAAAATCAAATGATATAACGCGTTGAACATCGTGAAACACGTGATAAATTTATGCATTTAACGAGCTCTGAGGGAAGGGTCGAAATGTGCGCGTCAGTTGGTCGAGACGTCTCGTCGAGGCGTGATTCTGCGAAGACTTTTGCAGCCCTTTTCCTGTTGGGGGGAAAGGGGCGCGTCTGGCCGGGCGGGCGTCGTGTCGCGTCCCCTCAGTGTTTCGACTGTTTCGAAACAGTCGGTCTCCGCCAAACGCCCCACCCCACAACCCGTTAACGCGTGAAAAGGGCTCGCGCCATGGCTGTTCTTTGTTCGCCCAAGACGACGAGGGGCTGGCGGCGCCGCCGGACTTCATAGCCAACGCCCGGGCCCGCCGCCGCCGGCGTCGCCAAACGCCCCGCTGAAAAGAGATGGACAGGGGGCGTGTCTCTCGTTACTGGCTTCGCAGAAAAGCAGGTGGTTTTAGGTACCCTTCCCTTGCTACGGAACCTGCCGCCCGCCATGTGCTCACTTCATCGCTAATTGCTTGCTAATTGCTTTTCTTCAGAGACATTTGAAAAGGGTGCAATGTTTGATAAAAATTACTTCTATTTTACTGCTCTAAAGTACAACATTCCTCAAATTGAATGGTGATAGTGCATGTTCGAAATCTCCCAAGTAGGAATGTTATATTTTGATGTTTCATCTTAAGCATGACAAAAGCTTTCATTTTTAGTTTTAACTGTAATTATTCGAAATAATATCAACTCAAAATAAATAAACTAATAAATGGAAATAACTTCCAATTACCGTAACAAGTTTCAAACCTTTTTTAGGTGGAACACAATACCATGTTTAACAAGTTTCTTCTCTGAAATGCATCGTATTGCAATTATATTTAAAATTAGAATGATATCTGTGTAGTTTGTGCTCATGTTTTGAATAAAAAATATTGTCTAAATGTAGACTAGAACCAGACATCAATTATAAAGTCATATTTTTTGTATACAATTCTAGATGACGACTTGTGTATGAGGAAGCGAAGAGATAATTCAGAAAATGTTAATATTGCTCACTTCTTCGATAGCATTAAAACAATTGTATGTAACACCCGAAATTGGCACTAAATTATCAAAAGATGCCGTTTTAATCACGACTAAATGACTGCTTCAGAACAGTAGACTCCGCCCTTCCGGGGGTGCGTGGACAAACTTCAAAGAATAAAAATAAAAAATATTTTGACAGAAATGTAAATTGCAAACTTATGAACGAGAAAAGACTATCAACTTTGCAATGATGTATTTGTTTTCTGCTAACATCTTTGGATACCACTAAACGTTCGCATCTAGAATCGGCAGAAACTCATTCGAAGATGCCCCATACGATCACAATTACATGATTGAGGCGAGGAAAATTGTCCTCCCCTAATCTTTTCAGTAAATATTAATTTTAACTTGTCACAAAACTTTCAATTTTTTTTCAGATAATCATTAAAACGAATAAAACCGTATTGCAGCGAGAGCTGAGTATAGCCTGCGACTTTTTACAAAATGTGTAATATGACATAATCGACCAAAACACTTTTAATGTGTCTCTGGATCCGCACCTGCCTGATTGTATATCCCTTCGCTGGCACCTCGATGCTCATTGTTCTTTGTCCGTGGTTTGCAACGAACGCAAAGACTGGCTGTGGCGCAAAGACAGGAGGGCCGGGACGTCGACAACAAAACATCCGTAGTTAAAATTAAAGCATCGATGTTCTTAAAATATAGACATAAAACCATTGACGGTATTAAACACCGATGTTTTTAAAACGGGATTAGTAACCAATGAAGTTAACGTGGGGTAGATTTAATTTAAAGTGGTCTCGTTTATTAATTTTTGACTGAGATTTATGCGACACAACAAATGTTAAAAACATAATCCGAATAATTAAGTAAACTTAAATCATCTGTATCGGTAATTCAAAAATAACGTAGGATTCTTTACTGACGAAAATTTTGTTTTATTTATTTTTCAACTTTGGTCACTTTGGTTTGAAGAATATTCAATTTATGGGTATCTGAAATCTATTGTTGTAAAATTTGGATAAGAATTTTTATTTTTACATTTAAAAAATGTCAAGCACGTTAAAGCTTCGAGCAGACGATATTGATGTTAAGAAACCTCGATGATTTTATGAAACACTCGCGAACATGGAACCTGACGTGGCATGTCTAGCACCGAGCGCGTTTGTCTTCGGCGGCCGTGCCAATTCGCTGACCACGTGCCCGGGCTGGGCTTTCCGAGAACCGTCGGTGAGGGGAAGGAGGAGGGGGAGGGGGCTGCGCGGCCCCTTGGGGGGACGCCTCCCCCGCGCGGCCGCGGCAACCCCCTCCCCGGCCGCCCCCTCCCAGCCACCTTTCACCGCTCCGCGCCGCGCCGCGCCGCGCCGCGCCGCAGTGCAGTCAGTGCAGCGAGAGGCCCGCGTCGCTTCTGTCCGCGCCCGCGTCCGTATGCTGTCCTCGTGTGCGCCGCTCGCGCCGGCCGACTTCTTCGCCGCCTCCAACCCCGGGCGCGCAGCCGCCGCGCAGAGGTAAGAGCGCCTGCGCGCGCAGCCCCACGCCTCCCGCCGCGGACACGTGCTCGCCACGCATGCGTGCGCCGCGCCAGCTGGGCGTCTCTATGTATGTGTGGGTGTGAGTGCACGAGTGGATTAGTGTGTGTATGTAAGAGTCTGTCTGAGTGGATGTCGGAGTTTGTGTGTGTACGTGCGAGTCCGTTGCGCGCGTGCGGTCGGACATCTGGAGAGTATTGCCGTTGCCATGGAGACGCACAAGGTTTACGGCGATTGTTAGGATGCGTAATTCTATTCCTTTTGGTTTCAACATATTTTTTGATCAGTCTCGCGAGTTTTTCGTAGGTCAATGAGATGATTTGGTTGAGTGCAAGTAGTCATTGGACGTCTGGGGGGTAACTCCGTTCACACGCAATATTTCGACTTTGTTTTCGTCGATTTTCATCTCATTTTTGTTATGATAAGACTTCAAAATCGCTTGTATTCGAAAACCCACGTGCGTGTGTGTTTGGGGGCGGGGCGGGACTGTTTCGGGTGGTTGCCATGGCCACGGAGCACGTGACTAACGTAGTTGTGACGTTGCAGGCGTTAGTCTCTATTTCTGAGCACTTCGTTTATTGAAATTTGTTGTGGTTAATTTGTACTTGCAATATATGCTAGAAAGTGATCGTGCTCATAAGACTTCTATTCATTGACATTGACGTATTGTATTCTGCTTCAGAGATCCTTGAATTTCAACAACTTCACGCTTTTAATTTTTGTTTGAAATCAATTCACTGAGCATCTTTTGGCATTGGGTAAGATGAATATTGGGAGTAATGACTAGGAAGCTTTATTGGGGGTTTTCTTACATTTTGTGAAAGCATTTAAATGTTCTCAACCTATGTGGTTTTGTTCCACTATTTTCGCGGATTGAAAAGCATTCCAATATATTTATTTTGGATTCCGTTAAGAATGGGTGAATTAATGGTGCCATTAAATTTGTATGAAGTGAACGTTATGAGTTAAGAGGAAATGGAAATAAACCTTTTGAATGATAAGATTGTTATGAAATCTATTTCAATAATATAATTTAATTTTTTTAATAAATTAAACAAAGCATAGATACGTAAATATTTTTTCTTATGGATAGAGTAATTAAAATTGTATGAATAATTTCTTAATTGTCATGATTTTTACCGCAGTCAAGTGTGGAAATATTTCGACATACGGTGTTGATAAGTTAATTTAAATATTTTAGGGGCAATTTTTTAGGTTCTCTAATTTTTCCGGAATTTATTATGATGATTGTAGATTTGGCTTTTATTCTTGGTGTCAACTATATCCACGATAGTTTTTCATTGCGTCAAAAATGGGGTATTTGTTTTTATTAAAGTCAGCAAGCATAAGCTAGTTTACATTAAATGTCCAAATGAAGAACCCTGCCGTAGTTCTAAAAAATCGCTTTCATTCGCGGTTGGTGCGTAAGTTTTGCAGCAAACTAGCAATTTTATTCAATGAATAAAAAAATTATTAAAATGTCAGATTTTTACATTTTTAAAACTCGTATCTTTCAGATTTTTATATTTAAATACCTGACCAAAACACTTGCGTGAAGTGCTGAACAATTAACCCGATTGGCTTTAAAACCGAATTATATTCTTGCTACCCTTGGATAACATGTATTTATGCAAATATGTTACTTGTTATTTATATCTAGAGAATTGGATAATTTGTATGGTAGGGCATGACATAGAACAGCCATAGCCTTGTTAGCCTATTGAATGCCATGTGAATTATCGCTTCGTTTGGGACGTAGACGTCCTGGTTTCAAGGTTGGCCTCCGCGTTTGTACAGCGCACAGTAGTTTCGTACATTTTGTGTTAGTCAATATAGTCAATATGAAAATATTAGCGGTGAAGATTAGTATTATATTTGACATTATTCACTAGTAAATCTGCAAGGTGTGTTAACATTTTATTTAATCAAGAGTGCAACATTTCAAATATCGAAGCAGTGTGTATATTCGGTGTAGTCGTGTGAAGAATTATTTTGACATCCGGGCCTGCCAAACTAAACTGGGGGGCGTGGTCGGAGACCAACATGGCGGAATGATTTGACATTCGTTTCATGAACGTTGGCAAACATGTACTGGGGGTTGTGATGCCCTTCTGTTCTGCCAATGCCCCCACTGGAGAGGTCACAAGGAAAAATATTCCCTTTTTTTAGAATTCAAGAAACTTGCACTAAAATGTATTTAATAAAGGTTATTTACAGGAATGATTTAGTATGTTCGCATGTTGCGAATTTCATAGAACACGTGACAAGCTACAACTCTTTGTTATTAAATGATTTGGGCCTTCATTCTCGTCAACGATTATGGCCGCCATTTCAATTACTCGATTGGCTTATCACTGTAGGGAACTGTGACATTTAATTTATTTTTAAAATATTTAAAATGAATATTAAATTATGGCATTTTAATATTTTCATAGGATCTCGGATGAAATTCGTAACCTTAAAATATTATTTTTAGAGAAGACTTTGTATATATTAAATCACTCGTAAAATATCCCTGAATCTCTAGCTGTACGCGCTGAATTTTCGAGGCATTATCAGCTGGCGTTCCGAACTATTTCCCTCCGTATGGTTAGCCGAACTATGCCTAGCTGACTCTGGCAATGCTAAACTGCTTAATCTCCCCCCCCCAAAAAAAAAACCTTCTACCCTGTGCAGAGACCATGTAAAGACCTGAACCCACGCAAAGTTTCCGAATTTCTGCGCTGTGTAAAGCATTGTTTTAAGTGTGTGCAGTTTAATAAAAACCAAATTTGTACATACAATGTAGGCTTTCACGGCCGGTTTCCATATCAAGCCCGGAAACAACTGATTTTGATACAAATTTGTACAGTTTGGCAAATGCTCCCGTGTCAGGTGGTCTTCGTTGTTTATTTTCATCTGAAGAAAAAATTCGTATTTTTCATAAGACATTTGTAATAATTATTGAAAATTCAATTCTATATTTTACTTTCGCATTCCGCGCCGTTTTATGCCATTTCTTTGAAACAATTTGTACGTGACGCTACAAACTTGAACCTCATCCGTTGCATGGGCCTAATGGCGTAAAGTAATTCTGAGTCGGGGCGGGGGTCGTGCTCAACTGATGCAGAGGGACGGGCCCGGTCGCCGCGCGTCGCCCAGGTGCACCGCGGGAAGCGTTGCGCTATTGTTGCGCGCCGCGGGGAGGGCGTGGCCCCGCCAGGCCCCGCCTCACGGGAGAAATCGCAGCGTGCGACTAATGGGATTAAAAAGAAGCCTCTGCGTCTCTCAGCTGCCGCCGCTCGCGCCCTCCCAGCCTTCCAGGAGACAGTTTCCAAGCGAAGTTCCTAGCATGGTTGTGGAAATAACTGATGGGCACATTATATCCTATGTTTATTGTAGGGAAATTAGCATCGTTTCAAATCGCTCAACGCCCAAACGTATACGAGGAAACTGTTCGGCCCTAGCAGCGGCTGATTCACTCGTCCTTCCGCCCTCCCTTCGAGGAAACGGTTTCTAAGCGTTTGTGGGATCGTTTTGGGAAATAACCGTTCTTTACAGTGTCCTATACTTGTTTGTTGGTTTATTTTTGGGAGTTTTAACAACTTGGTCACACAGAAACCACTGCCATTGCTTTAACTATAGGAAGAACACCTCGAACTCGCACAAATGCCCGTGACGGAATTCGATCCCGCGACCTGATGTCACTTCAGCAGTAGTGGCCGCGACCTTCCAGGCCTGCAATATTTTAAGTTTATTGTAGGAAATTGAGCACTATTTCATCTGATTGCATGGAATTGCGCCATTGAACGCTATTGAAGTAAAAGCCAGCCTTTTGTTCGACCCTCGGGACACTCGCGTTCTTACGCTCTGCTCTACTTCTCCTAAAAAACTTGAACGTAGAGAAAGAAATGTTCGTCCAATATTCTCCTAGATTTATTGCAGGGACATTAGCGCTACATATTTCAAACGAGTGCGTGCGCCAAACGCTATTAAGAGGAACCTTGAAGCCTCCAGTGCGTCGGCGCCTTGTCTCCCTTCGAGAAAACGAATTTCATGGTTTTCGCAGTTTTCAAGATTGTTTTCGAAATGAACTGTTGTTCGGTTGGTTTCGGTTCTAGGTTTGTTGTAAAGAAGTTAGCACTACTTCAAATAGGACGTATTACACGGAAAAGGAGCAAGAATTGAAGCAAAATAAAATAAGTTACAGTAAGAGTTCAAAGTGCTAAAATGTAGCACAATAAAATACATCGCAACATAATTTTGAACAAAAAGAACTATGTACGAATGGGGTGTTAACCGAAAAAATAATTTGATAGTAATTCAGTTACGTTGATAGAGGTTAAGTTTTATTAGGCCTAATAATACTGAAGGCTAACATAGTGATAGTTGTGAACTTGGAACGAAACGCGGATTTAGAATCTGAAAGGGGATTCTCAAAACGTCATTTTAAAATTTCCGGGCGCAAATTCGCCTGTCGCCTGGCCCTTGGCTAACGGTGCTGCGCGCCCGCGTGGCCGGGCGAGGCACTGGCCCGTCTTTCCGGGAACGCCGCCCCGCTGGCCGCGACCTTCCGAGGACGTCCCCGCCCAGCGCCTGTCCTCACCGCTCGCTCCCCTCCCGGAGGGCCTTGAAGGTATTGGTGTGCACTTCACAATTTTTGAAATCCAACATGGATATCGCCATCTTTATTATCAACGTGAACTCTTCAATAATATGAAGTTACTATCACTAAGGTATCTACATCTTTATTCCATAATGTAGTATTATTCAACATACTTAAATAAAAATAAGTTAAATTATATTGTCATCCGAACGAAATATAAAATATTAATATTCATAAAACACTACCAACCATAAGTATTAATATACTACTACCAAAATCTATTTTCTTTGCCTACATTCTTCGAGTTTTATTTCTTCCCCTCTACTTTCTAAGTTTTTTCTTCCCCTACCTTCATTGGAACCTTTTTAAGTCAATTCAGTACATCATATTGAGC